GAAGACCCTAACCCTAAATTAATCGAAAAAATTATTAAATATAAGTTGCCTCCGCTTTAGACGTCCCCTGTTTTAGGCAGGTGCCAACTTCAGGTACCTGAAGCTCCAGGCAGATGCCAACTTCAGTCACATCTCGGCATTTATTAATTTCTCCCCACACTTTCTATTAGTTGAAATTATTTGTGATTGTTTACATGTCACCGTCTTTTTTAAACTATGACATTTCAGTTAGGGTTAGTGTTAGGTTTAGTGGGCGAAATTATACCAAAATTTTGCAAGAAATTTTGTTTGCTAATGCGTGAAGGTGATTTCTTAGGTAAAATTTCGAGATTAATGTGATTAATGTGATTTTTCGTGGTTTTGTTAATTTTCACGTTACACCAGATCTTGTCCCTGTGATTGATGCTGATTAGCTAGAATGGAAAGTGTGGGGGAGAATTAGTAAATGCTGCTTGCATATGTATATCTGATTAGATTTTTTGAAATATAAGCATCAATTATAACAATTAAATGATATTATTTCCAATTATAGTTTATTTTTACCCATAAAAATAGTTAATACAATTTTATTCTAATTTTATCAAATTATGTACCCATAAAAATAGTTAATACAATTTTATCCTAATTTTATCAAATTTGATACAGTATGTTCCGGATCTCTACATAGACCGGCAGAATCAAAGCATTCTAACAAATATGATATCTCAATGATTTTAGTCTTCAAATGAATTAATAAAAAAATTAGAAATTATAATTTCAGAAATTTGTATAAAAAATATAACTAAATTATTTACCATGATAAGCCTATAAATTTTTATAAAATAGTAATATGTTTAGGTAAACAACGGTGTATTTACAAAAAATATATAAGATAAATACCATTATTATAAGTTAATATGAATTTAATATAATAATCGATAATGAAAGAAAGGTACAGAAAAACATATATGTACAGGTCATGTAATCAATTTTAAGGTGTAGCCTGTGATTGCATAAACTGATTACTGTATGTTGCCATGGAAACCTCATCCGGATCTTGATTTTGGCTTCTCAAATCACTATATTCATTTACAAAAGTTAATATATAAATATATATATAATACAATTTTATATTCTGTTTATTTATTATATTTAATTTCATTGTTGTTTAAAAACACGTACCTTAGAGCAATCACAATCATTGCAACAATGTAAGAACAAACAGTTACTGGGCATGCCATTATAATTTGAAATTTTGATAATGCTAAGGTTGACCAGACTAAATCGTGCCAAACCGCTACAACAAATGTTGCAACAGACCAAAATATGAAGCTGAAGAGTGCCGAATGGTTGAACATTTGCATCTATAATTAAAAAAGCAAATGAAATACACATATTGATTCTACCAAGAGTTAACTATAAATAAAGGATAATTTTTAAATAATTTTTATAATTACTTTTCGTATTTGCCACTTAAATCTTTCATTATTTCTTTGAGCTTCTTCAATCAATTCAAAGCTTCGTTTTGTCAACTTTATCAAAGTTCGACCGTATATTCCATACCCGGGCAACATGGAAGCACAACCAAACGAATAAGTTAGAAGACGAACAGTAACGAATATGTCAGACAAGTACTTATCGGAGCGCATACGAAAGTAACCAGAAAGTATAGATGAACCTTGGCACATGACTATAAGAAATATGAAATAAGACCAATAAGAGCATTTTATAAATCCTTGAGAAGGAATCCATAAAGAGCTTTGGAGTTGATCAGAGTCTGTGGTTGGTTGAAGAATAGTAATTCGAGGAATTGTGCGAAAACTATAAAATTTAACAAATATTTACCATGATTAAAATGTAAAGAATATTGATAGATATACAAATAGGGATTGAACCCGGGTAGAAATTGTTACTATACGATTACCCGAAATATATAATAATTTACCCGGATAACCCGGGTAATTTAATAATACCCGGGTAGAGATTTTCTCAACGGGTTCAATCTCTATATACAAATATAAGTGATCTTACACGCCAGCCAAATATGTT